TGTGGCTCATTTGGGCACTCAGTTTCCACCTGTGTCCCCTAGTGCGTGTGCCCCTTGTGTTAAATAGCCTGTCTTTATCTACCCTGTCGATTTCCTTGAGAATCTTGAATGTGGTGATCATGTCCCCCCTAACTCTTCTGTCTTCCAACGAAGTGAGGTTTAATTCCCGTAGTCTCTCCTCGAAGCTCATACCTCTCAGCTCAGGTACTAGTCTGGTGGCAAACCTTTGAACCTTTTCCAGTTTAGTCTTATGCTTGACTAGATATGGACTCCATGCTGGAGCCGCATACTCCAGGATTGGTCTGACATATGTGGTATATAATGTTCTGAAAGATTCTTTACACAAGTTTCTAAAGGCCGTTCTTATGTTAGCCAACCTGGCATATGCCGTTGATGTTATCCTCTTGATATGAGCTTCAGGGGACAGGTCTGGCGTGTTATCAACCCCCAGGTCTTTCTCTCTCTCTGACTCTTGAAGTATTTCATCTCCTAAATGGAGACCAGATACAAGGTATCATTTCATATCATATCAAGGTATCATATCATATCAAGGTATCGTTCTCCCTCTTCGCCCTTACTTCATTACCCACAGAAATCACAGTTGCGTGATGCATCAAATGAACGGAGTATTGACATAGCTCGAGTGCATAGGGGGAGTTGTGTAAAACCCTAGTTTGTGCCTCGGAGAGGCTGCAGGATCCAGTAAGTTCAGTAGAACTTCGGTTTCAACTCCTTTTTACCATGTCGTAGCTCAGTCGATTAAGGCAGCGTCTGGGATTCTCTCGGACGCAGGTTCGAATCCTCGTCACGGCCCTTGTGGTTTTGTTCGTTTGATGCATCACGCAATTGTGATTTTGTGTGTAGTGGTTGTGTGTGTTGGGAGGGGGGGGGGGTAGGAGTGGTAATGTGTGTGGGGGGGGGGGGAGGAGTGGTAATGTGTGTGTGGGGGGGGAGGAGGACTGGTAGTTTATGTGGGGTGCAGTAGTGGTAGTGTGTACTCACCTAGATGTGCTTGCAGGGTCGAGCTCGGCTCCTAGCCCCGCCTTCCGAACGTTCGTAGATTAATGTAATGACTCATTTCTCACGTTATTATCATATATGCATTGCGAATGTTGAATCGAATTTGCTTCAACAACTTGTGCATCTAACCTATACCATTTACTGACACCTCTAACACTATAAAAAAAAGTTCTTCATGATGTGTCTATGACGCATTTGCGTCTCCAGTTTCCATCTATGATCCGTCGCTCTGTTGTTCCTAGCTTTGAACAACGCTGCTTTGTCTACTTTGTCAGTTTCCCTCAGAATCTTATACGTTGTTATTATGTCCCCCCTCCCCCCTTGTCACTCCTTTCCTCCAGTGTGGTAAGGTCCAGGTCTCTCAGTATTTTCTCGTAGCTCAATCCCTTCAGTTTCGGAGCGAGTCTCGTTGCATATCTTTGTACCTTTTCTAGTTTCTCTTTGTTCTTTTTCAGGTAAGTGTTCCATGCTGGGGAATGCATATAAAAGAGTGGGTCTAGCCTTTCCTGTATATAGGGCCTGAAAGCTCCATTGTCCACGTTTCTGAAGGATACACAGATATTGGCAAACATGCAATATGCAAATGTTGTTATTCAGCTAATGTAGGTTATTGGCATTAGATTTGGGGTTATGTCCACTCCAAGGTCTTTCTCCCTTTCTGATTTGTGCAGTCTGCCTATCCCTCTCTCTTTTTTGATTGATGTGATCTTGTTGTAAAAATCTGGCAAGCTTGTCAAGCAAGATTTTTCTCTTCTAAAACCATATTGGTGCCTTGAGACAAAATTCTAAATGTTCCACTAGCCTGCTTCGGCTCTGTCTCTCTAGTAATTTGTAAAGGATACTTTTTATTGATACGGGTCTGTAATTTAACGGTTGTGAATTTTCCCTTTCTTGTAGACTGGTACCACATTAGCCATTTTCCAGTTGTCATAAAGTTCTCCCGTTGCTAGAGAGGATTTAAATATTAAGGCAAACGAGCTGCAAAACCCTCCAGCTGCCTCTTTCAGTGTCCATAGAGATATTTTGTTCTGGTCCCACGGCTTTTGTCACATCCAGTTCCTGTAGTTGTTTCTTCATCTGGTGTCACTGTTATTTCAGTGAAGATTTCCTGTGGAATTTCCCGTTCAATTTGGGGTCCTAAACTCTAGTGGCAAACCAGGCTTCAGCTTGAATACTTCCTGAAAGCTTTTGTTAAGTTCCTCATATACCTTGTTATTATTTTCCGTGTGTTCTCCTTTACTTTTGTCAAGTCTGATAACCTCATTCACAGTGGTCTTCCTCCTGATAGGATTACACAACAGTTTTCGCTCGGACTTAGCCTTGTATTCAGCTTCATTATCGTACTGCTTCTCTGCCGTTCTCCTAGTATCTGTGTACTTATTTCTGGCCTTTTTGTATGCATTGTGATTTCCTTCTGTTCTGTGTTCTCTATACTTCTGTGTTATTTTGCTTCTTCTCTTTACTCCAGACACTGTTGAACCATAGGTTAAAGCTCGTTTTGCTTCCCATCACACATAAATATAACCCATCGTAATGACACGGATATTGCAGAAAAATTAGCGCGTAACGAAAATGAAGTGGAATTAGATCTAGGTATCCCCGTCTTTGCTGTCAAAACTGTATTGTTCCAAACACTCAGGTCTGATAGGTGAGAAATTACTAACTCCCAACGATCTGAAAGCACCATTCTTAAAAGCTATGATTTGTTCAGATCTGAAACCTATATCTATGGGCAGCACAAAACGTCCACCAAACTGTGCTACACTACATGATATTCTTTTAGGAATATCAAACTAATTATACCAATTAGTTTGGTTTCTACTAGTGCTATTACATCAGGGTCTGTTTTCTTTGTCCTGTCTTTGAGTTCATCTGCTTTGTCAATCCATCAGCATTGGTGTATCAGATCTTCGGCGTCTTTATAGTTGTACTGTCCTTTGAATGTCTAGTTTTTAGCGCAGGTATGGGGGGGGGGATGTGGGAAGAAGTATGGTGTGTGGGGGGGGGGGCAGGTGTGCGAGAAGAATGTGTGAGGGAGGGGGGAGGTGCATGTGCAACACAGAACGTTACCACATATAAATTGGAGGAATTTAAATAATAAAAATCTGACTGCATCACGTTATTTATTTCTCGACGTTTACGTCAGACGCACACAAGACAACACACGCCTCAATATCACAGATTAGTACACGGTAGACCCAGGTGGCACGTCGCCTCTCACGGTGACAACTGCTGTAGTGACACCTGTCACGGTGCCAACTGCTGCAGTGACACCTGTCACGGTGACAACTGCTGCAGTGACACCTCTCACGGTGACAACTGCTGCAGTGACACCTGTCACGGTGACAACTGCTGTGTTGACACCTGTCACGGTGCCAACTGCTGCAGTGACACCTGTCACAGTGACAACTGCTGCAGTGACACCTCTCACGGTGACAACTGCTGCAGTGACACCTGTCACGGTGACAACTGCTGCAGTGACACCTCTCACGGTGACAACTGCTGCAGTGACACCTGTCACGGTGACAACTGCTGTGTTGACACCTGTCACGGTGCCAACTGCTGCAGTGACACCTGTCACGGTGACAACTGCTGCAGTGACACCTCTCACGGTGACAACTGCTGCAGTGACACCTGTCACGGTGACAACTGCTGTGTTGACACCTGTCACGGTGACAACTGCTGCAGTGACACCTGTCACGGTGACAACTGCTGCAGTGACACCTGTCACGGTGACAACTGCTGCAGTGACACCTGTCACGGTGACAACTGCTCCGTTGACACCTGTCACGGTGCCAACTGCTGCAGTGACACCTGTCACGGTGACAACTGTCACGGTGACAACTGCTGCAGTGACACCTGTCACGGTGACAACTGCTGTGTTGACACCTGTCACGGTGCCAACTGCTGCAGTGACACCTGTCACGGTGACAACTGCTGTGTTGACACCTGTCACGGTGCCAACTGCTGTGTTGACACCTGTCACGGTGACAACTGCTGCAGTGACACCTCTCACGGTGACAACTGCTCCGTTGACATCATAACAACATTAAAATAAGAGAACTGTTTGTTATATCATTAAATAATTAAAGACAATGTTATTTTGCTTTACTTTCCTGCGTGAAACTAAAATACTTGGAAAGTTTATGTCCAGATTGTCATGATAATCATCCTATACAATAATTTCATCGATTATATACATGAATAATAACAATTGCCTTGAAAACAGTGATAAGAATTAATATTAATACACACAATCATACAGCAATAGTTCAATAATAATAATAATAATAATAATATTGCTGCAGTAAAAATAATAATATTAATAATAAAGATAATTATAAAATGGAATAAAATGTAATATCGTACTTGAATGACACGTTTCTTTAGTCTGGAACATCAAGTTGAAATTTTAAATGCATGACAATCTTCATGTGAAATGGTCACCGGAAACCATTATGAACTTTCCACTGAATTACTAAATTATGGAAATATTTTAACAAAATGAATATTTTCTCCAATTTAACAGCGAGATTTTCGTCTGAAGAAAAAACAATATATTTCCCTAACTCAAAACTATTTTTCTTATCCATGTATACATCTAAGAAACAAAAATTACATTAAGATCATATCTATAGCTGAAAGAAATAATAATAATAATAATTATTATTATTATATATAATGTTGTTGAATATGACAGAAAGGATAAGATTAATGATTCTAACACGAATCTTCTCAATATGTCTAACGTTTTTCTTCACTGTCGATGGTAATTGAAAAATTACCAATTACCCTCGATAGTGATGAAAAACGTTAGACATATTGAGAAGATTTGTGTTAGAATCATTAATCTTATCCTTTCGGTCATATTCAACAACATTTGTTTACAAGAAAGACTTCTACCAATATATATATATATATATATATATATATATATATATATATATATATATATATATATATATATATATATATATATATATATATATATATATATATTTTACGGCTATTTGGTATCTGTATTTTCTCACACCAAAAGCTGAATCTGTGATCCGATTACCAGGAGGTAGCCGACGCGGCTTCTGAATCCAACACGCCAGAGTCGTTCGTGCATGTAGAGGCGCCTGTGACGCCACGCTGGCTGCACCTCACCGTTCTCCTAGCCTTGCTACCACGCACTTTTCGATTTTATAATTTTTATAAGTGAATAAAGAGAGACTATGCTGTTTTGTTAACGCGTTGTGGTAATTTCACGGTATATGGTGACCGGAATGGAGCGTGGAATGCTTCCACTTATGCTTAGCTGTGATAAACTTCAAGAAGTGCAGTACACTTAATCGCATTGGACGAGTCGTTTTACACAACAGTAAACACGTTCAACGCTTAACGTAGTTAACGTTCAACATTTAACGTGTTTAACGTTAAACATTTAACGTGGTTACATTTAGAAAACTCTGAAAATACTAACTGAGTCTCGTTACTGAACATTTAGGTGTATGAATGATGAACATATTGTAAGCTTTGTTCATAAGCTTTTACATTATTGAAAACACATGTTTGGCACATAAGGCATTTCACGCACAACAAATTCTATGGACAGTTTACAGTATTCTATACAAATATACAATACGTTGGCGATACAAGCATACTGGAGTTAAGGAGCGCAAGTCTTATTGTCGTCTGTGTGTGATTGTGCTGACGTGTAAGTGTGATTGTGCTGACGTGTAAGTGTGATTGTGCTGCAGGCTTGTTCCAGTGTTTGTGATTGGATTTTTTTTAAGACTGTATATATGCTTGTCCATCTCAATGGCACACAGAGATACGCATCTGATTTATGTATTCTTTAGGATTTATTGATTGATTTATTTATTAAAGGTCATACGCAATTCAAAATATGATTGAAATTAAAGTGAGCTTAGTAGTAATTTAGTAATTATTATTATTATTATTTATATAATTATTATTATTTTTATTATTATTATTATTTTTATTATTTTTTTTATTATTATATTATTATTATTATTATTATTTTTATAAAGATTGGGTTCAGAGCTAATATGTAAAATCTATTGCCGGTACTTATATTTTTTTCTTCAACATCTCTAAATTTGAGTTTCCCTCATCCAAATTATTTTAATTTCCCGCACGGAAGGAATGTTGAGAGAGGCGAGTAGCGATCAACTTCTCATTCTTCGTTACAATTATCAACCAACGGCGATCGTACAATCAAGATAGTCTTGAAAGACAGTTTATTATCCATGTTATCAAAAATGTTTATATATGACCTTTTTCGTGATACATATTGCTATTTTTTGAAAACCACCTGATGTATTTAGTGAGGTTTATTTTTGTTTTATTTCCTGACGCTTTGGACGATTTCGTAGAATGGAATAGTTGCACAAAGCGCGCATGCGCGCGCACACTTATTCAAATCGTATAAAACACCACGACAACACATGTCAGACTACGGCGTATGTTGCCTTCAACATACAAAACACATGTCGGCATACAATGTTTTCGACATACACCACACACAATCACGTCGACATATTCGACACATATGTCCAAATTATAAAAAAGTGGCGAATTAAGCCAGAAAATGGTAACAAACGTTGTTGTTCACAAGAATTTATTGCGTTCAATCGGTACTTAACGACGGACTATACAACAAACTGGACTGACTGTATGTATGTATGATGAGGCTTTCAGTAGCTTGAGATACTTGAACATTTTATACATAATATACATGTGTCGTGGAGGTGACACTATCTGGCGTGTGAAATATTGTTAGCTGTGGGCGTGTCACCGGAGTGGTGGGCGGCGAGGGCGTGACGCCAGAGGGTGTTGAGGGTGGACCACCAGTCGTGGCAAGCGGGATCAAGGTGAGCGAAGGTGTAGGGGGGCGGCGAGGTGGGCTTGGCACGGTCCGCCCACGCCGACATGTCGTTGTGGTCGTAGGAGTAGCGGAGGTTGAGGTAGTGCGGCTGGAGGCGCAGCGCCTCGGCCAGGAGCCCCGTCACCCACACGTCGTCCACCCAGATCCTGGTGGCCACGCCCGCCTGCGCCACGCGGGCCAACTCGTCGGCCAGATCGGGCGTGGCCACGTACGCCAGGCCCGCGCAGTACCGCGGGTACTCCGGCCACGGGTAATCAGTGTCGCTGACCGCCCATTTCCCAGAGCGCTGTGGCTGCGTGCCTGCGGGCAGCACGTTGCAGGCGAGGGTGCGGCTGGGCGGCGGGTGGCTAAAGGTGCGGTCGAGCAGCGCCCGCAGCGCCGGCACGTCTATGAAGGCGTCGTCATCGGCCTTGACGAGGTAGATGGCGTTAGCGCAGTGGGCGGCCGCCCAGCGCAGCGTCATGACGTGCTTGTAGGTGAGGTTGTGGTAGTGGTCGGTGAAGCTGCCGACCACCAGGTCTCCGTGCCGCCCCGCCTCCTGCTCCACCACCCGCTCCACCTCCACGCCGCCCATGCTGCTCTCCCCGCCCACTTCCCCGCCGCCCCCACTACCCTGCCCCAGCAGGAAAACAGTTCGGGCTGCCCACCCGCCGCCCAGGTCCTTGTAACCGCCCCATGTAGCCCTGATCGCCTGGCGCTGACGGAAGTGGTCTGGGCGGGAGTGGACGAGGAAGACGAAGTAGAGCCGCGCGGGCGAGCACGCCTCGGCCGCCTCGTGCACGTAGTGGAAGTCGTCCAGGTCGAGCAGTGTGGATGGCGCGGGCCGCGGCAGGTGGTGGCGGTCTGGCACGGAGGGCACGGGTGGGCGCGCCTGGGGCACGGGCGGGGCAACCAGCACGGAGGTGAGGGCGGCGGTGATGAGGTGGGTGGCGGCGGCTACTCCGGTGAGGAAAAGAGAGAGCTGGGCCAGCCTCACCACACACAGCCGCCCACACCACCGCCCACACCACCACCACCACCACCCACCGCCACCATTCTCGGTGTCTGGACACGGACTGCTGCTCCTGCTGCTGCACCTGCTGCTGCTCCGACTGCTGCCTCTGCTGCTGCCCAGACGAGCTTCTAGCAAATCAGCCTGAAAAAAGAGAGCGGCTACATTAGAACTCTCTAACACTAGCCAACCACCTGACTCACACATGTCCTCATACACATTTAATTCGTTGTCTTAAATCCTATCTTGATCTCATACACCTTGTATGTCCTGTATAGTCATACTGGCAATTCAATTTCTTTCTTTATTATGCACCCCATGCCCATCCCGTGGGCGGTGGTGGAGAGGATTACAGAGGCACATAATGGGTGCAGGAACTGAATCCCATAGTTTGTTTAGCTAAGCAAACGACAATCTATTGAAGCTAGTTACACAATTATTAATGTTATATATATATATATATATATATATATATATATATATCATATATACATATATATATATACATATATATATATATATATTATATATATATACACATCGATAATTTTTTATATAATAAGTGATTCAAAAAAAGGCTCACAAGTCACTATACAAGGCACTTTACATCTATGGTGAGTCACACAGTTACTAGTCTTGCTGCACACCCACCCAACTAGGCGGCAGCTTTACAGTCATGTGCTCCACACCCACCCAACTGGGCGGCAGCTTTACAGTCATGTGCTCCACACCCACCCAACTGGGCGGCAGCTTTACAGTCATGTGCTCCACACCCACCCAACTGGGCGGCAGCTTTGCAGTCATGTGCTCCACACCCACCCAACTGGACGGCAGCTTTATAGTCATGTGCTCCACACCCACCCAACTGGGCGGCAGCTTTACAGCCATGTAGGCTGCACCTACAGTAAGCAAATTTTGGATACTTAGCAAATATTCCTGGCAGTATATCATTATGAATGAAGTACTTACACATTTCTTGGACACCATTGATGGTGTTATCTTCGAATTTCGCGATTTTTTCACATTCCATTATATAATGAGGCAAAGTATGCTAATAGTTCTGCTGACAGAGTTTACATTTAGTCAAATCTACATCAGCAGATGTTACACATTCTCAAAGGTACTTGTAGCTAAGCCTAGCCGAGGGGGGATTTCTCATGATTTAATTTCCTCCTTGGCATTAAAAGTACCGGTTTAGATTAATACAAATATTATAAAATAGTAAGGTACCAAATTAAACTTTTATCGAATTCAAAAGTGACATTCGACAAAACAATTAAGGTCGCAGGTCCTGACCAGGAAGTTCTGAGAAGTGAGAAAGGTAATTACTTTGTTGGGAAAATATTGGGCATCTGGGCCTCGTAGCGATAAACACTTGTGGATCTTGAAAATAATAACCCACTATTTTTAAAACACGAGGAAATGTTGAATGTATATTTCGATCCCACACCGGGACCCTCTTTAGCAGTCACCTTTGGATCTGAGGACTTCAGATCCTCTGCTAAAGAGGATCCCGGTTGTTTGTTGTTTTAGATTCAGCTACTGGAAGAATAATTTCCATGTAGCACGGGATATGGTGAGCCCGTAAATGATCCCGGATTTGGGATCAAAATATATAGTCTACATCTCCTCGTGTTTTCAAAATTGTGGGTTATTATTTTCATTAATTAGTGCACTATTGCACTTCATTCTCACCTATGGATCTTGTTTGAATTGATGTTCATTATCATGTGAAATTACTTATTTGTCACTTAGCTAAACGAACTATGTGGTTCAGTTCCTGAACCTATTATATGCCTTTGTAAACCTTTCCACCACCGCCAACAAGATGGGTATGGGGGTGCATAGTAAATAAAGAATTGAATTGAATTCCTATAAACAGGTAAATGACCACACTGAAAATAACCTTGGTGAAAAACAAGACTTTTTGCAGTATATTCAGATGTCAAAATTGACAAAACGCTAGAGCTGAGCTGCTCACACTACCAGCAGGCACAGGTTGTGCAGACTCTCGTCACCTCGCTATAAGAATATTACGTACATACAATCACAAATATTAAGCGAAGGGCTTTGATGTTGACACTCGCTTGCGGGGGTGAAACAAAGACTGCCCCATTTTCCGTGAGGTGCCGGGTGGGCCTTCGATGCAAGGTTATTATTTTGAAGAGAGAGTTGGTAGCGCTGAGAAACTCGTATATTGCTCAGTAGAAGCAGACTAAGCCCCCATGATCGAAGTACGATGCACACTGTTATTGTTCCTCCCTCTCTACATGTACGTCTCTACTACACTGTCGTACTTATTCCATGACAATATAAACAATGGTAAAATGCACCCTAAATCCAGTAAATAATAATATTGAATACATTATATGACTCGAACGATTCGTAATTATGATCACCGGAAGTTCACCAGCTTGGAAAAAATAGCGTTTTGAACCGCTAAACAATAGCGAGTGATAAATCCATTAAGATCTGAACTCGGCGTGTCTCGCTGGATCCTGTTAGTTCTGCCGTGTTGGGTGTCGAATCTGCAGTAACATTATATCCAGTCATTAAACTCTCACAAAGATGCTCAACTCCACGCCTTATCTCCTCGTGTTTGTTCATTCATCTAATCACTCTACCTTTTCTCATGTCTAAATATTTGTTTAATTGAGGAAGTTAAAAATAAGGAATCTCTCTCTCTTTCTTTGCATATAAATATTTATAATATAATATTTTACACACACACACACACACACACACACACACACACACACACACACACACACACACACACACACACACACACACACACACACACACACACACACATTATTTGTGTGAGGAGCGCCTGAGGGAACTGTGCCTTACGACACTAGAAAGAAGAAGGAAGAGGGGGGGACTTGATAGGAACGTATAAGATACTCAGAGGGATTGACAGAGTGGACATAGACGAAATGTTCACACGGAATAGTAACAGAACGAGGGGACATGGATGGAAGCTTGAAACTCAGATGAGTCACAGAGATGTTAGGAAGTTTTCTTTTAGCGTGAGAGTAGTGGGAAAATGGAATGCACTTCAGGAACAGGTTGTGGAAGCAAATACTATTCATAATTTTAAAACCAGGTATGATAGGGAAATGGGACAGGAGCCATTGCTGTAAACAACCGATGCTAGAAAGGCGGGATCCAAGAGTCAATGCTCGATCCTGCAGACACAACTAGATGAGTACAACTAGGTGAGTACACATTATTTGTGTGTGATGTATTTAATATATAGTGGTTAAGGTCTCCTGTAAACCAGTTGCATAATGCTCCTGGCAGTATGTGTTCGAGTCACTTCTGGGGTGTGGAGTTTTTAGTTGTATATATGCCTGGGAACCATTTAGGCTTGTTCGCATATATATATATATATATATATATATATATATATATATATATATATATATATATATATATATATATATATATATATATATATATTTAGGGTACCACCTCTAGTGCAATTGCAAGGACCCACATCCTCGAAGAAGAAAACAAAGAGCATTCAGAGAAGACCTTGTGGATTCTCACTGAATACTTTAATTTTTTCCTCTCCTACCACCCTATTATTTTTTTGTTTGTTCTGTTTTATTTTATTTTATTTTATTGCAATGCTACAGTTTACACAGATGACACACATACATATAACAATATAACATATACATATAACAATATAACAATATAACATATATATATATATATATATATATATATATATATATATATATATATATATATATATATATATATATATATATATCATTCATACATAATGAAACTCAGTAACTTCCGCACCCAAAGTTTCTCCAGTCATCCACCAGTGAAAATAATGGAAATTCGTTTAGTGTTCGCTTATCACCAGTTACCTGCGACCTTCATTTTGTATGATAATTTCCCAGGAAGGCTGCAGCCGCCGGCTCTCGTGCGGCCGCACCCACTGGTCCACAGTGTTCTTATAATGCACTTCCCACTTCCCCACGTATAATGCACCTCATTATACTTACGCTTCAAACACCTGTGAGTCCACGCCTGTTAATTTCGTATTTTTGTGAGCTTTACTTCCAGTCTGAGATTACTTTTGAAGACAATTGGTTTCGTCGCTCGAGTATATACACTTATTTGCAGACGGTTCACAAACAAAAGGTCCCGGGTTTGATCCCCGCGCATGATTGAAGCGTTAAGGCACGATTCATTTGATTTGAGTTTACCTGAGGGTCACCATCTTTCTACTAGCCTCTAATGAGGACAAAAAGCCGGCAGCTTGTCGCAGGTCCACCCATTTTGTTGCCTGCCCACCTGGGACCCGGGAGTCAGGCAACTATTGTGGGATGCGTCCTGGGTCAGGTCAGTCGACCGTAGTACGAGGTGGACCCCGGACAACAACGTAGGAGATAACGATATAACATTAATAATGTAAACAACACCTTGACCTTTCAACTTTGTGTGTTTTGAATGTTAAGAATGTTTAATTTACGCTGCACGCTGACCCGCTTCGCAGCTGAGGTCACCGGAGGCCACACACACACACACACACACACACACACACACACACACACACACACACACACACACACACACACACACACACACACACACACACGGGGTAACCAGAGGGTCGTTACAACGTCGTGGTCACGTCGTGTGTGTGAGTGTGCCGTGGAGAACCTGGGATATGTCCCCAGCAACATGATAAATAATTCTTATACGACTTTCAAACTTAACTTTGAAACTTTTCATACTTTGTTTAAATTAAACAAAGTCAGAAAAATCGTCAAAGTTCCAAAAGTATTATATATCCTGATCTACTAATACAAAATTAATTTAAAATTTTCTCAAATATCCTAAATATTATTTTGCTAAAAGATGAAATTATTTATATATAATATCTTACGAGAGTTTCGCAAGAAAACAAATTGGTTCTTGGGTATACTGACCAATGCTTGAGTTGCACTACGGGCTCACCATAGACCGTGCTACTTGGAACTTCTGTATCGAGTTGCTGAATCTAAAACAACAAGAGCTTGACATGGATTGCACTCTAATGAGCTCATTCATATGATGCAGTTCAACGGTGGTTTAACTCCCATCCAAACCAGGAGGTGACAGGAACAAGGTGACAG